CCTTGGAAGCAAGAATGGCCAGACTTCGTCTCACCTATTTTGGTCATGTTGTCAGAAGGGACCATTCCCTGGAGAAGGATGTCATGCTTGGTAGGGTGGATGGTCGACGAAAGAGGGGGAGGCCTTCAATGAGATGGATTGACACGGTGGCTGCGATGATGGGCTCAATATAGCAGGGATTGTGGGGCTGGTGCGGGATTGGGCAGTGTTTCGTTCTGCTGTGCATGGGGTCGCTATGAGTCGGAAATGACTCGCGGCACTTAACAACAAGAAAGCTATTTACCGAAGATTAATGATACCTAAATAAAAATACACTTATTTACAATAAGAAGAAAACAGAAAGTGGAGTAGCAGACTAAATAAAGTGATTTCTAGTAACTGCCATTAAGTAGATTCTGACTCATAGTCACCCAACAGGAGAGAGTAGAACTGCCCTATAGGCTTTCCAAGGCTGTCAATCTTTATGGGAGCAGAGTGCTTTCAGTAGCTCTTTTTCTAGCGGACTAGTTCATGGGTTTGCGACCAACTTTTGGTTAGCAGCTGAATACTTTAGTTACTGTGCTACCACCCAAAGTTCCATAATTTCTAATAGCACAAGTGAAATATTTTGTAAGACCTGAAGTCAAAACATGTGCTTTTAAAAATAAGACCTCTGTATACTGTTAACGGGAGCTCTGGTACCATAGTGGCTAAGGCACTTGACTGCTAACCAGAAGGCTGGCAGTTCAAACCCACCAGCCACTTCTCGGATGGAAGATGGGGCAATCTACTTCCGTAGTGATACTGCCTCAGAGACCCAAGGAGGGTTCCCTATGGGTCAGGTTCGACTTGATGGCACATAACAACAACAACAACATACTGTTAACAAGTACAATATATAATACTGAATGATAATTCACAAAAGTAAATTTTGTATAACTCTGCTCTTCTTAACAGAATGAGTCTAATAGAAATTACAAACAAAACCAAATTAAGTAACTTACATAAAACATAACGCAGGCAACTTTCCCAATTTTCTTAGCTTTTCAATAAGAAGTGGGAATATTTGTACCTTGTTTTCCGGACTTTCAATTATACTAGGACTAAAACTCTTCAGTACCATTTTGGCCTGCAGCAATGAATAAAAAATGATTTAAAATCATTACAAAAGAATTAAGATTTTTAGCTAAAATTATAATTGTGTGATCTATCATTATACATTCTTTAAAACAGTCTTATGACAGTATATTGTAAAAGTAGACAGTACATTAGGGAAAGATATATACAGTATATATCACATTGGCATGCAATTTTTTTATTGTGGTAAATATATAAGTGACAAAAAAGGTGCCATTTTTACAATCTTCACATGGATAATTCAGTAATATTAATAGTGTGCATCATAGTGTTCAACCATTAATCTTAATTTTCCCATATTATTATAAATGCAATTTTTAAGGCAACACAAATCACTCAGGAAGACATTGTTCAGTTAATGATGTTGGTTCTGTAGGAGAGATCTAAAGTTTCTTCCATGACATGTAGAAAAATAACTTCCAAATACATTTTAATTTTTTTTCCTTAATGACAAAAAAATTAGAAGAAAATATAAGTTAATTATATTAACTTGTTTTGGGTAGGAATAGGTTTTCTAATTAAGAATAATGGAAAGTTGCATGAGAAAAGTCTGATATATGTTACTCCTAGAAGACTAGAAACTTTAATATGTGACAATAGATCAAATTTAAAATATAAACACCATCAATCTACTTAACAATATATGCATAGCTAATAATGGCACCAAGGAACTCTGGTGGCACTGTGGTTAAAGCATTAGGCTGCTAACCAAAAGGTCAGTGGTTCAAACTCACAGTGGAAAGATGAGGCAATCTGCTTCTGTAAAGAATTACAGCCTTGGAAATCTGATTGGGTTGCTATGAGTTGGAATTGATTCAGTTGCAGTGGCTTTGGTTTGGTTGGGTAATATGGCAGCAAATGAAGGTTCTAGTACACAAATGATTCCTATAACTTGAAATGAAAATTAAAAAAATCCTACCTCTAAGACAAAAAAGAAAGAGGGGTAAAAAATTCCTCTCAGCTACTGTTACTCTAAGACCAGTATCTCTGCTGCCAAGGCATCAACAACATTGTCTCTATGAATAGCAGCTCCTCTGCTCTTAACTGATATAGTATCTAGCAGTAACTAGTAGTTTCTGGTATATGTTTTAGGAGGCACTGAGGCTAAGGAAAAGATCAATTCTGCTCCTCTCCCTTGTTTTCTTCTTGTCCCCTACCTCAGAATCACTAGATTTTATGTTTAACTTAAAATTTTAAAATGAAAATTAAAGAAAAAGTGGAACATTATGTTATCTGACTAATGCAACTCAAGAAAACTACATAGAGTACTCTGCCAAAAATATGTGTGAAAATTACCTCCTTTGTATTGCCATTTTCAATCCATTGTTTTAATTCTGCCTTTAAGCTCTCTTCATATTTTCTAGCATCCAACTTCTTAATGACTATTTTGTTCTTAAAATGAATAAATTTCTCTGGACACAATTCCTTGAAACAAATACCACAAAATTAACAAAAATCACACAAAAAATATCAAAAGATGTTTCTTAGTTATGTGTTTTATTAATAACATTAAAATCTTCTTAAAGGTAGAAGCTATTGAGCATCCCTTTACCTATTTTTACATGCTAAGATGGATGAAATCTTTAAAGGACAAAATGTACATCAAGACCAAGGAGAAGATGCATAGAGGAAGAAGAGTGCAGTGAAAGAAAAGGAAGGAATATAAAACAAGAGATGGAGGACACTAAAATGTAGTACAGTATTCCAGAAATTAAATCAGAAATATATTCAGGATTCAATGTTGTTCTATCCTTTTAAAATAAAACATAAAACATTAATGTCTGAGAAGGGGCCATTTATTTGGGAAAGAGGCCACTGATAATTTTAAGAACAGATTCAAATGATTAGAAAGGATAAGAGTTTTTTTTTTTTTTCTGAACAGTAAGGTTATCATCCATTTTAATAGAATCAATTAAAATTAAATCCCATGATAATTATTTACCTGGGCTCTGGGCCAAGTTTTCCAGACTTGAACCATGGTGTCATAAAGCTGGATGCTTTCTCGAGGTGAAAGGGTAAGATCTGAAGGGAATCCATACCTTTCAATCTGTGTATAAAATAAAATGAAACTTTTTATTCTTCCTCTTATTTTATCTTATGTGTTATCCTTGGCTTCTAGTCACTATCTATGAACCCAAAGACATCAACAGACAATAAACTAAAACATTCAAATGCTCATAAGTGCCAGATGCTAACAAAATACTAGTCAAGAGGATCTCTGAGGTACTAAAGTAGAAAAACCCTAAATGCTCACCACAAATTCTTTTATAATACTTCATAAAAACTTTAGATCAGCTAATTCTCTATGAAGTGCCTCCAGAACTCAAAAGTGGGATACTAGGTAGCTGGAAGATTTGTGGACTTGGCTTAGACAAGAAGATATAAACTCTACACTCCAATTAAAATTGAAATTGCTTTAATGATGAAGATGATGCTTTGTTTTCATGGGTACCAAAAAACCAGCTGCCATCAAGTTGATTCTGACTCATAGTAAGACCATGTTTGTCAAAGTAAAGCTGCAACTAAAAAGTTTTTAAGGCTGTGCCCTTTCGGAAACAGATCACCAGTCCTGTCTTCTGAGGCACCTGTGGGTGAGTTTGAACCACCAACATTTCAGTTAGTAGTCAAGCGCTTAGCCATCTGCACTACCCAGGGAACTTATGGGTACCAAACCAGGCTAAAAGGTACAAAGCATATTTGCTTAAGTTCAAAGACAAGAGCTAGGCCAATTACTGGATAAGACCACCAGACCGTCTTCCCACACACAAAGAAACTTCTCCCCAGATCACTGATTTTGTTCTGCCCTAAGCCTTCTGAGTGAGTTGACCATTCATTTTATCCACAACTATTTTAAGGTGTAAAATAGTGCCTAAGGCATTTGACTGCTAACCAGAAGACTGGCAGTTCAAACCCACCAGCCACTCCTCAGAAGGAAGGGTTGGGCAATCTACTTTGTAGTGATACTGCATCAGAAACTCAAGGAGGGGTCACTATGAGTTGGGTTTGACTCAACAGCAATTTGGTTTTTTGATTCTCAAATAGTTTGCATGTTGTATTTTCTGCTGGTTTCAACCTTGACTACCATGAATCAATTGAGTGTGAAGCTATGCTCACTGTAATGTTAATAGGCATTTTTAAAATTTTTATTGTGATTTAGGTGAAAGTTTACAGAGCAAATTCACTTCCATACACATTCACATATACTTTGTCTCATGACATTGACTGTAATTTTCCACAATGCAACAGCTCCTCTCCCACTTCCTCCCCGTATTTACTTCTTACATGTGACCTTCCCTCCCATGCTCTTCTGCCCCCCGAGCTGTCTCCCTGTGCATACACAGTCCTTCTATTCTCCCATGATTGATCACGCCAAGGATTGTATCTACCCAATGTAAATGTTCAGTTCCTATGCCTCTTTTGTTTGTCTGGAAGCCATAGGAGTGGGTTCAATTCCAGACCTGAAGGGTAGCTAGGGGCCATAGTCTCAGGGGTTCCACCAGGCTCTATGAGATCAGCAAACCTGATCCTTTTTTTAAAAATGATTTTCAGTTTTGTTCTACATTGTTCTCCTACTCTATCTAGGGTCTCCTATATAGATCCCCCTCCAAGTGGCTGACAGTGGTAGCCGGGCACCATCTTGTTCTGGTCTCACAGTCATATAGGCTGAGAATCACACGGTGTACTGGGTGCTTGCACTAATTGTTTCCATGCATCTTTGGTTTTCTTCATTCTTCTTTGCTCTGGATGTGGTGAGAACCATCGTTGCATCTAGGTGTCTGCTTGCACACTTTTAAGATTCCAGTCACTACTCGCTAAAGTAAAATAAAAAAACCAAACTCACTGCCTTCGAGTTGGATCCAATTCATACCAACTCCTCTATGGTTTCCAAGGCGGTATCACTATGGAAGTAGACTGCCCTATCTTCCTTCCAAGGAGTGGCTGGTGAGTTTGAACTACCATTCTTCTGGTTAGCAGTCAAATTCCTTAGGCATTACATGGAACAATGTTTTGCGTAGTATATTATGCCAACTGAGCTTGATGTTCCCTGCAACCATGGTCCTGAGCCTACAAGTCCAACTATTCACTCCCTCTGGGTAGCTGGCTATGGCCAAGGAGTGACTACACCATTGTCCCTTGTCAGCTCTATTATATACTTGGGAATTCTTACAGAACACACAAATACACTTGTGGAAACATTGTCTGCCAACCCCATACATAGTCTTGGGCACACTCCCCCTTGCATAGACATACCTGGTTGTTCAGACTGTCCACCCATCTATCCACCTATATATCAATGTTTGCCTTCACTGTCAGTGTGGTACTGTATGTACATAAGGCTTCATCTTTGTTGTCTGTACCTCCCATGCACCTCTCTATGCCTTCTTCTTCCTCAGTGCCACTCACATTTGGTACATTGCCCTTCTCTTCACCCAAATCACTACTTGTCTCTACCTAACAGTGTTCCTTCCCATCCCATCCCAACCCCGCTAACCAACAAAAAAATTTCCTTCCATATATAAACCTTCCCTTGACTTTTTACAATAATGGACTAATACAATATTTGTCCTTCTGTGACTAACTTATTTCAGTCAGCATAATGTCCTCCAAGCTCATCCATGTTATGTGGTGTTTTGCAGATTCTATATTATTCTTTAGGGTTGCACAGTATTCCACTGTGTGTTGTACCATATTTTGGTTATCCATTCTTCAGTTGATGGGCATCTAAGTTGTTTCCATCTTTTGGCTATTGTAAATAGGGCTGCAATGAACATGAGTGTGCATATATCTGTTTTTGTCCTGGCTCTCATTTCTTTAGGATATATACCTAGTAATGAAATGGCTGAGTCAAATGGTATTTCTAATTCCAACATTTTAAGGAATCGCCATAATGCTTTCCACAGTAGTTGTATCATTTGACAGTACTACCAACAGTGTATAAGAGTCCCAATCTCTCAGCATCTTCACCAGCACTTGATATTTTCTGTCTTGTTGAACTTTGCTACAAGTGCTGGGGCAAGATGGTATCTCATTGCTTTGATTTGCCTCTCACTAATGGCTAATGATCATGAGCATTTCTTCATATGTTTGTTCACTGCCTTTGGTGAAGTGTCTATTCATGTCTTCTGCCCATTTTTTAATTTACATTATTTGTCTTTTTGTTGTTGAAGTGTTGGAGTTTCCTATAAACTCTAGAGATAAGTCCCTCGTCAGATATGTCATTGTCAAATATTTTTTCCCAATCTGTAGGTTCTCTTTTGACTCTTCTGGAGAAGTCTTTGGAAGCACATACAAATCTAATTTTTAGAAGTTCCAGTCATCTAGTTTCTTTTCTTCTGTTTGTGCATTTTGGGTTATGCTTGATAGTCTATTTATGCCATATATTACCAAAAAAAAAAAAAAAAA